CACACACACACACACACACACACACACACACACACACACACACACACACACACACACACAACCCGCCTACAAATTTATAGTAACAAAAGTGGGATATGAACTATCAAAGTACAGCTGGTGTTAAATTCAAATCTGGAAGGGGGTTTCATATTCTCCCATCCCAATCTGTTCTATTAACTTCCAGATAGTGTGAAGGTAGACAAACCATTTCATTTCTAGGAGCTTGAAAAAAGACAGAAAAAAACCCACATCTACTTTCCAGGATTACAGGAAATTTACATAAGCAACTCAAACTAGCCTGGTGCTAGTGGCTCATGCCAGTAATCCTAGTCAGTAGGCTGAGATTTGAGAATCTAGGTTCAAAGCCAGACTGGACAGACAAATACAAGAGACTCTTATCTCCAATGAACTAGCAAAACACCAGAAATGGAGGTGGGTTTTAAATGATTGGAGGCCCTGAGTTCAAGCTTTACAACTGGTGTGGCAAAAAATAAAACCTAAATTGACATAGAGAATTATAGGGAAAACAGCATTAGATAAGGGTTCACGCAAGATGTCTGACTTATTCATAATTATGACATATGTGGGATCCAACTTCAGGCTTCAGGTTTTCTGAACAAGGATTAATATACATATATATTAATATAACAGAGTATGTGTATATATATACATATACACATATATGTGTGTATATATATATATTTGTTAGAGAATAAACACCAGTCATACTATATATATATATATATATATATATATATATATATATGCCATCAGGTGCAGTACTCTATTATCAGTTTCAGTTCAGGTTCTTTTAGTTAATTCTAATCCACACAACACAAGTATGGATTAGGGACAATCCACTTAGCCAACTAGGAAAAAAATATAAAATCTTATAGTAATTTCTGAGTAGTGTTGCTACATAAATACAAAAAGAAAAAATAGACTTGTGTATATTTTAGTATTTAATTTTAAGTATATATTGTGAAAAAGAAAAGTATTGATTTTGGATCGACCTTTAAGCTCACCCTTCTCTCCCATTCCTTTTCTTTGCTTTTGAGCCATCCTTACTCACTTACTCAGCTGGGCATCCCAGGTCTTCAACTTATTCACCCTTCAACAACATCACACAGTGATAATCAGATTCTCCTTCCCCAAATATCTGTCCAGGACATGACTCATTTAACTGGCCAGATATGGCTGCTTTGCTGGCATTTCTTCAATTCCCTAACCTGTGAATGTTGCTGACCTTTGGCTTGGACTTCAGAACTTTCTTTTCCCTGTACCCTGTTGTTTTTAAATCTGAAAGTAAATGGTATTGGTTTTTATAATTTCATGTCTAGAATGTTCATTGTTCACATATTGTGTAAAAACTGGCCAGGTGTAAAAATGCATGCCTGTAATCCCAGCATTTGAGAAGCCTAGGCAGAGGGATATATGGGATACATAGCAAGAAATTAAAATAGTAATAAATTTTGTACCACCATGTTGTACTCACTTATTAATTCTAATTCCTTCAGTAGATTCTTTAAGGTTTTCTATATACAAAATCATGTTATCTATAAAAATAATTTTACTTACTCCCTGATAATCCAGATGTGTTTTGTTTCATTTCTTGCCTGTCTGCATTGGTCAGAACCTCGTGTACAAGTTTAATCATGATGGCAAGAGGGAGCATTCTTGTCTTTTGGGGAAAGCAATTCATTTTTTATATTGTTTCACATATACTGTAAATTTGGGGCTTTGTTTGATTGATTTGCTGCTTGGAGATATCTTTGGGGGAGAATAGAGAACATTTCTCCCACTGCTAGTTTGTTGAACAATATCTCTTTAGTCTTACCTAGTTCAATCAATAGTGACTCCATTCTTCCAGGAATTCAGGACAAAATCTAGACTTCCCTCTCATACTTTTACATCCAGCCATTTATCAGCACATTTCATCAGTATTTCCTTCCAAAAATTTCCTGAACACAACTATCTCTAGCCCTGTCTACTAGTAATCACTGATCATCATTGACATAACTCAAAATTGGATTCCTTGTCTCCTTCATTTTTCTGCTATTAGCTATTGACAATATGGCTTCCAGAGTGGTCTTTTTTCAAATGAAAATGTGTTATTAGTCTGTCCCAAAATTCTCAGTGGTTTTTTATGTCTTCCTTCTCTAATATCAGTCTATAACTTGCCTTTATTTCACTCCAACTGCTCTGGCCTCCTGGCTGATCTTCAAGTCTTTGCAACTACAGTTATTCCTATTTAAAGTTTTTCTTTCAGGTTTCACATGATGCACCCTTCACCTCACTGAGATGTCAGATTAAATATCCCCTCATCAGAAAGCTTCCCTGAAGCACCTTATAAGCTCTAGCCCTTTCTCCCACTCCACCCTCACTCTTGTTGCTCCCTGTCCCTTATCCTGCTTTACTATCTGTCCAGCTTGATATACCACATGCCATGTCACCTACTTCTTTGTACCTTTATCTAGTGTCTATTTCCTTTTAGCTCAGGTAAGAATATAGCTCAATAAGCACAGGGAGTCTGTTTACTGAAATATTCCAGGCACAGACAACAGCCCTTTGCATGCAATTAAGTACTGAATAAATATTTGTTAAATTATAAATAAATGAATAAAGGAATGGATCCTTTTACGCCATCTCCTCACTGTCTTTTCTTTGCAATGTGTGTGTGTGTGTGTGTGTGTGTGTGTGTGTGTGTGTGTGTGTGTGTGAACTCAGGGCCTGGGCTCTGTCCCTGAGCCTCTTTGTGCTCAAGGCTAGTTAGTATTCTATCACTTGAGCCACAGCACCACTTAGGGTTTTTTGAGTAGTTTATTGGAGATAAATCTAAGGTGTCAGACTCAGCTTGCCAATTAAGGTCCTACCCTGAGTTCCTACATATTTACAAAAATCTGTTATTTCCCCAATGCTGCATTGTTTTCCTGGTGTGACATACAAATTCCCACCCCAGTTGCAACAGTCTCCTTACATAAGGGAGCAACTCAGAATGGGACTCTCCTCACAATTCCTGTACTCCATGTAACACCTTTATAACACCTTTATAACTCAGAACTGACTCCACCCCCAAATTCCCATACTCTACATAATGTGATTCATGTGAGTGCCCATGTGACGCATGTGACTGCCCCCTAAAATTCTGTTAAAATTCAGCCTACACCTGTCCATGGTTGCTGTCTCCATTCATGCTTGGAGCAGCCTGGCAGGTCTGTCCCCCAATAAAGCCTTGAGTTCCTATCGGTCACTCTTGCTCACTTTTCATTTCTTACAATAGGAGTCTCTTGGATTTTCCTGCCTAGGCTGGCTTTGAATTGTAATCCTCAACTCTCACCCTCCTGAGTAGCTAGGATTACAGGCATTAGCCACCAGGGCCCAGCTTACATATTTGTACATGCATGTGTATTTATTTTAAAACTACTTACTAAAGTATAAATTTGGGTACCAACTATTAAAATTATTTAATCAGAAATTAATCAGAGAGAATTACCTTTCCCACCATTAATGAATCTTCTCTGTTGCTATCATATCAGCTAAAAAAAAAATCTCAGGTTTGGAATAGAGACCAGGCATAAACAGTTGTGTATATTAGTCATATGTTTGGCACTTATTTTCAAAATAGTGATCCAGGAATCTTCCACTGATACCAAAAGAATCTACCTCTCCCTCACTAAGCAGTAATGTCTGAAGCCTTCTCTTAATTTCATTTGGTTATATAAGCCCTTCTGGAACAATTCTACATCAAATTGAAAATCGTTATCTTGAAAGACACAAAGCTGCCCTCTAAGGCTCTTTATAAAATCAAGAGAGAATACAATACACCAGAATTCTCCCCTAAGCAACCTCTCCCAAAACAATGACTTCAGCAATTCCACAGAGTATTTAGTGAGTACTTCTCACTGTAAGCCAAGATCACAACAATGAACCATTGTTCAGACACCCACACATATAATGGATTGATACAACAGGCTACAAAAAGGGATAAATCCAGAACTAATATATCAGACCATTAGCACCCAAAAGCAATTTCTCCTCTTCTGGTAAATGACAATCCATATATATATGTATGTGTATATATATATATATATACACATATGTATGTGTATATATATATATATAGTCAGAATCATAAAAAATTAAAGTTTAGCATAACCTTTATTGTCAAAAATCATCAACACATTATTCAAGAACTCCCACTAAGAACTGACAACAGATATGTTGAAAAACGAACTTAACAACTTTGGTACGGGGTGGGGGGAGGGGAGGAGTATGGGAAGGGATGGGAAGGGGAAACAAGGAGGAGGCAACAATGCTTGATAAGAACTGTACTGGTTATCTTGCCCATGTAATTGTAACCCCTCGGTATGGGTATGGTATTCTCACAATAAAAAGAAAAAAAAAAGAATTGACAACAGAAAAAAGGCTCTCTCTCGCTTTCTCTCTCTCTCTGTGTCTCTTTCTCTTCTCCCTCCCTCCCTCCCCCTCTCTGTCTCTGTCTCTGTCTGTCTCTGTCTCTCTCTCTCTCCCTGTCTCTCCTCTCTCTCTCTTGTTCTCTCTTATTTTAAATTGTGTTATTCCTGGAGCTTGAATTTGGGGCCTGAGCACTGGTCCCTGAATTTTTTGCTCAAGGCTTGTGCTCTACCATCTTAGCCACAGTTCCACTTCTAACTTTTTTCAGGTTAATTGGAGGCAAGCATCTCACTTTCCTGCCTGAGCTGGCTTCAAATAACTAGTCAAAGCTCAGCCTCC